GGGCCCATGGACAAGCATGCTGGTGTCCAGTTCAAGGTCCTCTGAGCAAAGCCCAGTGCAGACCCCCAGCCACTGTCCTGGGTGCCCTTCCCTCGGCAGGCCTGCTTGGCTCCAGAGTTCTCAGCACCAAGGAGCCCTCTTCACACATTTTCCTGTGGTGTCAGGCTGAGGCCTGGGTTTCAAGTTACAGCCCAAACTGGAGGTCTGGATTAAAAATGCGAAAAAGTCAGAAAGAAAACCGTGAATGCTTGAATTCCGCCATTCCTCCCTTGTTTGGGCTAACCGCAGGCTGGCCACACCGAGGCTGAGGTTTCTCTGTGCTCCTGGCCTTGTCCTAGCCACTTGGAATAAATGCCAACTCTGGGCTAACTTCCCGCGGCTCTATTTCACAACCTAAATAAACCAAGCTCTGCTGGCATCTTGAAGCAGATTCTGAGTGAGGTCTCTGACAAGTGGACATGTCTGAGACCAGGGACCATCATCTCTGTAGATACTGAGAGAATCAAGTCTTCAGGACATTTTCAGACTTTCTTAGGATTCTCGGATCTCAAGACCTCCTCCACGAATCTTTCCCAGGAACAGACCTCAGACCTGAGCAAGGTATTTTCATGCTATTTATGGGGTGGGCATTGTTATCCCTAAGTTACAGATAAAGAAACAGAGACCTGGGAAGGAAGTAGGCAAACCAAGATGAGAATCAAGACCTGTCTGACTTCTAAGTTCTGGGCCTTTCTACTCCTAGGGCCTTCCGATTTTTGCCTTTTTCTTCTACTATCTTAGAAACTTAGAAGCTGCCTGGCATTTCAGCTGCTGTGTGGGCTAGTCTCCTTTCCTTGACCATAAGCTCTGGACACAGCCCTGTGGCTGTGCCCTTCTGTGCGTAGGCCAAAGCCTGGCACCCAGGAGGTGCTCTGTGAACACCAGTTGACTAAATCTTGGCTGACTTTTATGAAAAATAACTCAAGAGAAGACTTCAAACCAACTTCACCCATCTTCTGAAAGGATCCATATGTTTTGTTCTCTGCCTGCCTGGGCATCCTCATCAATGACAAAAATCCCAGCAGGTGAGAGATTAAAGATACTGCTTCTCATTTCAACATTGAGCTGGGCACTGCTGGGCCACACCTGCAATCCTAGCTGGTCAGAAGTCTGAGTTTTGTGGATCCAAAGCCACTCCAAGCAAACAAATCCTGGAGACTTTTCTCTCCAATTAACCAGCAAAAAAAAAGTCTAGAACTGAGCCGGGCACCGGTGGCTCATGCCTGTAATCTTAGCTACTCAGGAAGTTTGAGGATCACAGTTCAAAGCCAGCCCAGGCAGGAAAAGTCCATGAGACTCTGATCTCCAAGAAACCACCAGACAACCAGAAGTAGCACTGTGGCTCAAGTGGTAGAGTGCTTGCCTTGAGCTGAAGAGCTGAGGGACAGCTCCCAGGCCCAGAGTTCAAGCCCTATGACCAACAAAAAAGTCTAGAACTGGAGGCGTGGTTCAAGTGGTAAAGCACTAAGCCTTAAATGAAAAAAAAAACTAAGCAAGTACAAGAGGCTCTGAGTTCAAGCCCTAGTGTACACACACACACACACACACACACACACACACACACACACACACACACACACACACCACTCAGAAATGTCCAGACAAATTCTTACTGGAGTAACACGGCTCTAGTAAAACAGCTTTCTCAGCTCCAAAACACCTCCCAGGACTTAAGTTTCTGGTGGAGTCCCTGAACTTACCACTGAGCCAAGTCAATTAGCAAAGTGGGACTTGGAATGTCCACCCAGAGGGATGACGTGATTAGCCCTGAGGGGAGACTCAGGGAGAGACCAACATCCGCTGCATTCAGAGGCAGCATGCATGACAGGAAGGTTTCTGAAGATGTCCAGACCTGAGCTACTGCAATCATGCAGCTAGCTACTCTCCTACTCCCCTTCGGCTCAACCTCATCAGCCCTCAGCCCGCTGCTCTGGGCTGGCTGGCTATGGGACTGGTTTGGAACTCGCGGTGTGTGTTTGATTCTGGTTTGGTCAGGGTCTGGGCTGGTGACTCTCCCCTCCAGCACTTTCCTCCCTGCCCGTTCACCATGCCTGTGTGGGCCCGTATTCCATCCAGCTCTACCCTCAAGCCAAGCTGGCAGTTTCTTTCTTTCTTCTTTTGTGCCAGGGCTTGAACTGGGCACTGTCTTTGAGCCTCTCTATGCTCAATGTGAGTGCTCTACCACTTCAGCCACAGCACCACTTTGGCTTTTTCTGTTTTTGTGGTACTGAGGGACTGAGGGATCTAACCCAGGGCTTCATGCATGCTAGGCAAGCGCTGTACCACTAAATCACATTCCCAGCCCTCAAGCTGCCAGTGTCTCAATGCCACAAAACACTATTGGCTCATGGCTGTAGTTCCTGGATCACTAATCCCCCTGGTCCAAGTGTCCTGAGTGATCCAGCTTCCTACCTAAAGGTTTGTAGACTCAAACTTTGGTCCAGAGAGGGCAGAGTTTAGGGAGATCCAAAGCTGAGAAACTAAAAGGATGGTCAGAGGTACTGGAGACCCAGGGTTCTGCTCAGCACAGGATGTAATCTAATTTGGACACCAGAGAGGAAACATCTTCCTTGAAAGTGAGTCCCAACCCAACAAAAGAGTGCAGTGGTGCCTGCCTGTCATCCGAGCTCAGGGGCAAGTGCTTTCCCCCATCTCTTCTTTCGCTGGACCCCTTCACCCGACCTCTCACAATGCCTCAGTGAGGCATCTGTAAGTCAGGAAACCACGGGGTGGAGTGGAGGGAAGTCAGAAAGAACTCGGGACTTATGAATGCATAATACTAGACTTTTTGGAAATGGATGGGCGTGCAGCCAGGTCTCTCCAGGGTTCCCAGATTGTACTCTGCTTACAAAAGGGCTATTATGAACAGCTCGGCATCTCAGGGTGACAGGTTCAGAACCACAAATAGTATGACATCACAGGGACCAGGAATGAATGCTTTCCCAGCCATGTTCTCATTGTCAAGGGCTTTGAAACCCTGAGAGGAGGGGGGGAGGGGGGGACACCCCGCGGAGCCTCAAGGCAGTTCTTCCATATTCTGCAAAAGGGCTGATGGGATATCTCAGGACATCAGCCAGAGGTGCCTGCATCATGACCACCTGAGAACCCTCACCCCCAAAGTTGAAACACCACTAAATTGTCACTGTGCCCCCTTTCTTACTGGCACATGAGCACACAGAGGCTGGTCACGGGGCCTGTCTGAGCCAGATGCATCCCCTCCTTGTTCTCCTTTCTGTGCTTCTTGGGGGGTTGGTTATTTCTTTGGGGATCATGTCATCTGGTCAGGAACTACAGTCTGGTAGTTGAGCCAGCTTGACTCAAATCCTACCTGGATAATTGCCTAATTGTTGAAGTGCTCATTACCTTTCCATTAAATGAAGAGGCTGACATTAAAGATTGCTTTCCAAGTTCCTTCCAGTGACTGTGGTGCTGCCGCTGTTATAAGGAAATGGGGCACTGCCTCCCCCCACAGCTTGACTGTGTCCTGCACATACAGCTTTCCCTTTGCTGACTGGACTATCCCCCCTCAACACACACACACACACGCACACACGCACACATGCACACATACACACACACACACCATGTCCCCTGGAGGCAGTGCAGAAGAGTAGTTGCAGTGCAGCAGAAGGTTAAACTCTGGCGTATCTAGTTTTCCCTTGTGACTCTGAAGGATACCTCTTTGCAGATTACTCACATAGAAAAACCTGATTCCTGAGAAGTACAAGAGACGTTACAGATGACCAGCCCCAACACCCCAGTACCCCCAAATCAACAACACCCCACTAGGCGGCCTAATGTTCTCCCCACACTCTGATGAACTTCAATTTGTATTCATTTCATCCCCTTCTTTGAAATTTTCTATTTCTTGTGCCTGCTTTGGACTCCCCAGACCATTGAAGGATAAGAGGATTTGCGTGTTATTTGGAAATGTCCTCAAATGGGGATCCAGGCTCAAAGGGCTTTGGCACACAGGGTTTGTGATCAAAGGTATGCACTGACTTCACTCTGGAGCAGCTCCCTCTGTCTGGAGCTGGTTTCAAGGATTTGATCCAACTACAGCCAAAGGGACCATGGCTCCACGACCGCCCTGGACAATACAACCCAAGACTCTGGAGGACACTGCTTACACCCTTGCCAATTTGGGGCTTGGAGTACATGATGTCTATTTTTCCCTCCAGGGATCCCATCAGCAAGACTCCTTTTAGCCGTAAGAGCATCAGTTCCAGCTGCAGGAGCCTACTTTCCTTCCAGAACAGGTGCTGGACCTCTAGGCTTCCATTGTAGGAATACATTTTCCAGACGACACACTGGAGGCAGGGCCCAGCACCTTCCCAGACCTCTTTGAGATCTCTTTGTGATCTGGAAAGATCACCAAGTCTGACCTGATAAATTTATTATTTGAGAACACAGGAGCTTGATTTTTTTGGGGGGGGGAACAGTTGTGGGGCTTGAACTCTAGGCCTGGGCGCTGTCCCTCAGCTCTTCCGCTCAAGGCAAGCACTCTACCACTTGAGCTACAAGACCACTTCCAGTTTTCTGGTGGTTAATTGGAGTCTCACAGACTGTCCTGCCCAGGGTGGCTTTGAACCATGATCTTCAGATCTCAGCCTCCTGAGTAGCTAGGATTCCAGGTGTGAGCCACCAGTGCCCAGCGAAGAGCTTGATTTAAAAAAATATATATATATCCATGATAAATAGATAGTAGAGATAGACAGGAAGTCAACAGGAAGAAAAGAAGAGACAAATGAGCTATCTGGGAACTCTGAAGGAAGCAGCAAGCTCAAGTCCTGAGAGGAAGTGGTTAACCCAGAAATAGGGCTGGAGGGGTACGATAATGGGCGGAAAGCAGGTGTTGTTTCTCAGGGACACTGGTTGCATGACAGCGGATTCACATGTTGGGGAGACAGGCTAGAGCCCCAGCACACACTGGAGAGGGAGGAGGGGCGCTGGGTACTCACCCACACACTGGTTGCCTTCATCCATCTGGTAGCCAAAGCGGCAGACAAGGGGCCTTGAAATCGTAGGGTAGTTGGATGCGGCCCCAGCCGAGGCCGCAGCAGAGGACACTGGGGGCGCTGCTGCTGGGTATGGACCTGAGTAGGGCGTCGAATAGGGATTGGAGTAGGGTCCGCGGTACACCGGGTTGGTTCGCGGGATGCATAAATAGCCCCCGTTCTGGTTGACACACATCATGTCTCCTCGGCAGGCCTCGGGGATGGTCCGGCATTCATCAATATCTGCAAAGCCACGGACAAGATGAGCGCTCACGGCACCGTGCACAATACACTTGTAATCAGAGCTTCGAACCAACAGACATGAAGACCCCAAACACAGTTCACCAGCACTGGCTCCAGCCAGCCCCGGGCTCAGTGCTGGCAGATCTTCCCAACTGAACATGCCACCCCAACAGGAACACTTCATGCACCTCCATTCTGATTTTGCCCACATACACAGAAACCTCAACAGCCACTCACTTCCTTCTTTCCTCTAGATAGACCCCCGTGAAACTCAAATGAAGTGTCTACTTTCACCTTCCATGCCCATTAAGAGTAATAGCCACTCTCAGCCTTGTGCTGGTGGCTCATGCCTGTAATCCTAGCTACTTAGGAGGCTGAAATCTGAGGATCACAGTTCAAAGCCAGCCTGGGCAGGAAAGTCTGTGAGAGGCTTATCTCCAATAAACCAACAGAAAACCAGAAGTGGTGCTGTGGCTCAAGTGGTAGAGTGCTTGCCTTGAGCTGAAGAGCTGAGGGACAGCGCCCAGGCCCAGAGTTCAAGCCCTACAACCCAATAACAACAACAAAAAACCAAGAGTAATAAAAGCCACTCTCAATTTGCATAGATGGAAACTAACAGTAAACATGAATATATAACCATTAAACCGGTTTGTCTGTGGACATAGAAACACATGTCTGCACATATACTCTGAAAACACTGGGATATACCTAAGACATTTCTAGTCCAAACCATGACTGGGCAGCGGAGCAAGAGACCTCGGTGTCAAGATAGACAAGGCTGGGACTCACTGGACATTACGTAGAAAATGAACTACACAACTTATGGAGTGGGAGGGAAACACTGAGAGAGAGCAAGAGATGCCAAAAAAGAGATAGATTCTTTACCTGACTTACAGTTAACCCCTCTGTACATCACCTTTAGAATAACCATAAAACTATTTTTTAAAAAAAGACAGACAAGGCTCAGCTCAGAGCTAATGTTTTGCCAAGAAAGCAGAGCCTTGAAATCAGTCCACACTGTGCCGGCAAGTAGGTCTACCACACTGGCACTTAGCTGCTGCAGCCATGCTATGAGGGGGTGTGCTGGGGTGGGGAGGCGGGCAACTCTGGCTGCAGTGAGCAGCATCCTGGCTCCAGATGCTGGGCCCTGCCGCCAGCCTCGAAGACTGCCCTGTGTGGAACTGGAGCCCGGGGAGCTGGGAGCGGCCTAGATCCTGACAGCTCCCACGCCATCTCCTCCGAGAAACTCATGCCAACCCCTAACTTGGGAAAGGGAATGCCAAGGCTCAGAGTACAGCAGCCTGTTTTCTAGTTAACACCATGGGCTAGAAGAGAAGGCTGCTGCCCTCTTTGTTCTCCACACATCCTCAAGTCAAAGTACTTCCCGGTCAGTCTGGCCTGAGCCCAGATTTCCAAGAACAAGATTTTCTTCCTCACTCTTCAAATTATCTGTCTGCTCTCTGGATCTGAGCTGATGTGGGCTCAGGGAATGCAGAGAATTTGACCTAAGTCAAATATAATAGAAGTTAACTATTAGGGCTAGGAATGTGGCGTAATGGTAAAATGCTTGCCTAGCATGCATGAAAGCCCTGGGTTCAATTCCTCAGTACCACATAAACAGAAAACACTGGAAGTGGTGCTGTGGCTCAAGTCGTAGAGTGCTAGCCTTGAGCAAAAAGAAGCTCAGGGACAGTGCTCAGGCCCTGAGATCAAGTCTCAGAACTAGCAAAAAGAAGAAGAAGAAGTAGTAGTAGGAAGAGGAAGAGGAGGAGGAGGAGGAGGAGAAGAAGAAGAATAGGAGGAAGAAGAAGAAGTTGTTAACTATTACCCCAATATGGGGCTCAGGCAGAACAAGAGGCTAACTTAGTGTTTCCATGTACCCTGGGCTCCATCTACAGCATGCTTTCCTATACTGTGAGCTTCCTTTCCATCCCTAGTCTTTGCTTATGCTGTTCTTTTCACCCAGAATGCCATTTCTTGAAGTCAGCCCTCTATCACTCTGGAGAGTTTGGAGGCTCCAGTAGGAGAGCACAGCTACTCGAATATCCTTCACTGAAGAATGGTCCACTGACTACAAAGCTTTAGGAGAGACACACCTGGAACAGTAATGGGGAGAGCGGACATCCAGCCAAACAATTAGATCAGCCAAGTCAACCCTGGTGGTCAGTGAGATGACATGTCACAGCCAGATAGTTGGCCTCATAGCCTCCATCACTCCTCACGGACCCAAGACATCAAGTATGACTCTTTCCTCTTCTTTCCCAGGGACCATTGCCATTACTTCCTCTTGGCCATGGATTTGTTCCACCAACCTGTCACATTTGCTATGTCTACGTCTCCCACTAGAGGGCGTGCTAAGAGAATGCCTTCCTCAAAGTACCTCTTCCTCTATCCTTGCTACCTTGTGAATGCATTGTATTACTTGAGGGAAAGAGAATAAGCAGCTGTGGGAATTCTGTTTATTAATCCACTGGCCTTGATGTGGAGAGTTCATCCTAAATTAGCTGGGGGGAGGGAGGGGCAGAGCAGGAGCAGCCTAGTCACATGAATCCTTCAAGGTAGAAGAAGAGGCAGGACTGGTTGGAAATACCACAATTGAAAAAGGAAGGCCTTGAGAAACGAGAGCCACTTAACGTGTTGGCTTTGAGGATGGAAGAGAAAGTCATCAGCCAAGGAATAAGGACAGCTTCTAGAAACTGGGAGTGGCCATCAGCTGACAGCCTGCAAGGAAATGACCTCAATCCCATAACTGCTAGGAAGGGAACTCTGCCAACAGCTCTCATGAGCAAGAAAAGAGGCTCCCCTTGGGCCTCCCAAAAGAAGCTCAGCCCGCTGACATTTTCAGGTTAGCCTGGTAGAACGATGCTGAGCTTCTGATCTAGAAAACTCTATGGTCTTAAGTGTGCAAGGTTTAAGCTACTGTGCACAGCACCCCTAGGGATGGAAAACTTACTGAGGGCAGGGACCAGTTAATTCATAGTGCTTAGCCTGATGTTCACAGAAAGAGTGATCGATTAGAGGACATAGTTGGACCTCAGTCATTCATTCCATGCTCTTCCATACATAAGGATTGGATAATAGCTGAGGAAGAAGCAGCAGAGCCCTGGGCTGTCACCCTGGGGAGGATGGGAGAGGCACATACCTAAACACTGTCCAGACTGGCGATCCAGGTCAAAGCCGTTAGTGCACTGTTGCTGCAGGAAGGAGAGAGAAGAAAGAGGCAAGGTCATTTGACTGGCAAATGTCTCTCTGGCTGTACACAAAGCTCCATGGCAGAAAGGTTGGGAAGTGGGATAAAGAATGTCTTTCCTAATACCAATGCCTGTATTACAATTCCTCTTTAAAACTATTGTCTTACACTCATTTTACACTGCGCATTACTTTAAGAATCCTGTCTCATTGCTTCAAGATACCCTCAATTTTAGCAATTTTTTTTGTCAGTTGTGAGACTAGAACTTTGGGCCCGTCCCTGAGCTTTTGTGCTCAAGGCTAGTGCTCTACCACTTGAGCCACAGCTCACTTCTAGTTTTCTTGTGGTTAGTTGGAGAAAAGAGTCTCATGGATTTTGCTACCCAGCCTGCCTCTGAACTGCAATCCTCAGATTTCAGCCTTCTAGGATAACAAGAGTGAGCCACCAGCGTCTGGCCCCTTTCTCAATTCTTATTGGGCTTGTTGATGCTTCGAGTATGAGGAGCAATATCAAGTATGAGGAGCAATAGCAATCACGTCTGCTATGCATGCTGTAGTATACCCCATCCTCACCCCCTTCCTGGAATGGGTAAGATAGCTTATCCATTAAGGGGTAGGGTATTTGTTTGTGACAGTATTGGGAATTTAAACTCTGGGCTTTGTGCTTGCTAAACAGGCACTATATTTTTTTAGATCAGGTCTTCCTGCTAAGGCATGTTCCTGGACTGTGATCCACCTATTTTGGTCCTCCTTTCATAGCTGGGATGACAGTAGTACATGGCCACACCCAGCTTCTTACTCTGAGATGGAGTCTCAGTCTGAGATGGACTTTTCTGGCTATTGCTGGCCTAGAACCATAATCCTCCCAATCCCAGCCTCCCGAAGGCAGACATGCACCATCACACTAGGTGTATAGAATAAAAAGGGGTCTCGTGAACTTACCTGCCAGTGATAGCCTCAAACTGTATTTGGCCTCAGATATATTTAACCTTTCCTGTTTAGCACTACTGTAAAAATAATTTCCCCTATGAATTTCTCTTAAGTCTTAATCCTGTCCAGAGGGGGAAAATAAAACTTCCATGGAAGACCTAGCTTATTTTCTCAGAAAAGTAGGAAGTCTGATCAAGGTACATTGTGTGCAGCTACGGCCATGAACCCCCTTGTACAACTAATAGATGCTAATAAAAGTGTGTGGGAAAAGATTGAGGAGATTCCTCCATTTCAGCTTCAGCAAGACAATGTGCACAAAGATGCTTCTGGAAAGAGCTATCTCTAGGTGATCCCAGAGGACTGTGGGCTTTACATACAACTTCAATGACAGTTTTATGCATTGCAAAAAAAAAAAAAATATGTCGAGGCAGACAATCAGAGGATCTCTGAGAAACTTCTAGAGCATGGCTTTTCATGGAAAGTACCAGGTACCTGTGGACGTGCACTCTCACCCCTGGCCATAGCTCCAGCTCCAGAGTTGGGCTTCCCTGAGCTGTGGGTTGGTTTGTATGGATGCTGGACTTGCCAGCACTCTTAGCAAGAGCTCAGGGGTCCCACAGCCTTGGGGTAAAGGACACAGAACAAAAGAGCCAGGAGGCTTTGCCATAAAGTGTAGGAGACCCAGGCTGCAGCAATGCAGTGCAGGAGTGGGTGAAGTCCACTGATCTGCCTAGCTTCCAGTTCGCACTGTAGCCCCTACTCGCTGTGGAACTTGTCTGTGCCTCAGTCTCCCCACTGTTAGTACTTACTTCCAATCAATTGCAAAGGCTAAATGTCTTTTGTTGTGTGTCTGAGACTGGGTCTCGAACTCAGTACCTGATGTTTTTCACTCACTGGCTGGTGCTCTGCCAACTGAGCCACACCTCCAAGCCCAAATGTCTAAGTATTTGGGAAAATGCCTCAATGGAGCACGCAGTGATCCTCATCAGCACCCACAGGGCTCAAGACCACCATAGGATGAGAAGATTCCAAAGCCCTCCGAGATTTAAGATTCTGTATTCTTCTTCCCAAGATTTCCTCTCCTCAATGACATGCATAGACTTCAAAATGTGTGTGTGTGTGTGTGTGTGTGTGTTCTGTAGCACAAAACTTAGTTGTCACACAACCCTGTGGCTCTGAAAAGCCTGGAATGCTACAGTTTTCTCTCAGGTCCTCCCAAGTCTAACCTCATCTGTCCCTTCCATACTCCATCCAGGGGTCTTTGCTCAGGGTGTTTCCCCCCCTCCACCGCGCCATGTGCCATCTCTGGTGCTCTCCTTTTTCTCTCCTACACATAAGACTGGGACATGTGACAAACAGGAGCCTCAGATGCTGTTATCTCAAGGTGCCAGGGTCCCCCAACACTACCACACATTTGCTTAGCATTTCTCCAGCCATCACCTGATTAGTCTTGGGTTAGATGGGCACCAATGGCTCACACCTAGCTATTCAGGAGGCTGAGATCTGAGGATTGCAGTTCAAAGCCAGCCTGGGCAGGAAAGTCTGTGAGACTCTTGTCTCCAATTAACCACCAGAAAACCAGAAGTGGTGCTGTGGCTCAAGTGGTAGACCTCTGGCCTTGTGCTGGAGAGCTCAGGGACTGTGCCCAGGCCCAGAGTTTAAGCTTCATGACTGACCAAAAAAAAAAAATCTTGGGTTGGATGTCAGGATAATGTCCTTTGTAACCTGCAGCAGACTCAGCCTCCCCGGGCCTCAGCTACAATCTCCAGAAGGAAGACCTCCAAGGAAGCAAACATGAAGTTCTCCAACCCCCACCCCGATCTCCGCAGTGCTGCAATGCTAAAGTGCATGGTGCACAGCCCCACTGTCTCACTCTACTTTCTTACTATCCTTCCTGGGAACTTTTTAAACAGTCTTACCTGTGCATTCCCAGGACTTGGAAGACAGAGAGCCAGGAGAGTAGCAGTGAGTATTCTGTAGAAAACAAGAAATGGAGTGTGAAACCCAAGATCCATGCAGGGGGGTGGGAGGGAGGGGGGCGTGGAGCTCACCCCGCCTGGGCCTCTCTGTGGTGACCTTCCCATGTACTTGGAGACAGGGATAGGTATGCTCCCGACCCCTGTCCCCCACCAGCCCAAACCAGGCTGGCATCTTCTTCTACTTGCTTCATATAGGGGAGGCTGACTTAGATCATACTTTTTTTTTCAGTACTAGAGCTTAAACTCAGGATTTTGTGCTTATAAAGCAGGTGTTCTTCTGCTGAGACACTTCTCAGCTCTTTATGTTATTTTTTTAAATTTTTTATTATTTTAATTGTTATTATAAAGGTGATATGCAGAGGGGTTAGTTTCATAAGTCAGGTGATGATACATTCTTTTTGGACAATGTCACCCCTTCCCTCATTCTCTTCCCAGTTTTCTCTGGTTATTTTTAAGAAAGGGTCTTTTTCCTCAGCTGATCTGGACCATAGTCCTCCTATTTGCATTGAGAGCACAGATGTGCCTCACTGAATCCAACTGTTGGTTGAAATAGTCTCGAGGCCTTTTGGGCTGGGACTAGCCTAAAATCCTCCTGATAGGAGGACAGACAAGAGTCACTGCACTTGACTTAAATCACATTTTCAAATGCATAGATCCTGTTGCTTCAAAAACAAAAATGAGTCAAAGCCCACACCGCTGTGGGGTTTTCTTCACAGTAACACACTGACCTTGGTCTTTCTTGCATATGCAGGAAGACTTGCCTGAACTCAGAACATCTTTATTCTGAAAACAGAGCCAGAGAGCCGCCATCCTCCAGCCAAGTAAGGGGAGGAACTTCGATGAAGCCATTTAGCCAGAGCCCAGAAGCCCATGCAAGTGAGATTCCCCCCGGAAAGAAACTGGCTCGAGCGGCCCAGGCCCCCAACCCTGGCCCTAGAGTGTGACCTACAGAAAACGCCCCACCAGAGAAGGCAGACTGGGGAACCTGCACAGCCCCAAGAAGAAGAAATGCAATAGGAAACAGCAGGAGGGACTGAGACACCAGCCACTCATCAGCCATGAAACCTCTCTGCTCCTGCCTGTGATCCACCCTTTATCATGGCCCGGCTGTCATCACATAAAGCCAGGGTCACCAGTACGATTTAGACATACAAAGTCTTTCCCACTGGAGCCACATCAGAGGTGCTCTCTTGCTTTAGTCATTTTCAGATGGGCAGTTTCGGTTTTGCCCAGGATTGTCATCCATCATGATTCTCCTACATATACACTTCCCCTATAACAGGTATCCAGGAACATGCCACCACACCTGGCTCTTTTGTCGAGATGAGGCTCACACTAACTCTTTGCCCAGGCTGGCCTCCACCCACAATCCTCCTGATCTCCATCTCTTGAGAAGCTGCGATGAAAGGTTTAAAGGTTTAAAGTGTTGATGTAATACAACATGGAAATGTGGGCATGGTGGGGCATGCTTGAGTCCCAGCTGCGTGGGCCTAGAGTTCAAAGACATCTTGAGCCACATAGAAAGAAGCTCATCTCAACAGAAAAGGAAAGGAAAGCTCTGTGTGTGGGGGGGAGGGGGTTGACAACATGTATGAACCTTGACATGATGTTAAGTAAGTGACTCTCTCTCTCTCTCTCTCTCTCTCTCTCTCTCTCACACACACACACACACACAGTGTAGAAGCCCAACATCAATGACTCACTCCTGCAATCCTAGCTACCCAGAAGGCTGAGATTTGAGGATCACCGTTGGAAGCCAGCCAAAGCAGGAAAGTCTGTAGGACTCATCTCCAATTAACCACTAAAAAGCCAGACATAGAACTGTGGCTCTAGTGGTAGAACACAACCTTGAGCAAAAAAAGTTAAGTGACAACACCTAGGCCATGAGTTCAAGCCCCGGTATCAGTACAAAAACAACATAAAACAAAAACAATGAACGTAGAATTCCACTCATAGGAGGTCCTAGAGCTGTGAAACTTAAAGAGACGGAGGGTAGACAGGTGGTAGACAGGTGGTAGCCAGGTCTGGGGGGATGAGCAGGGGGAGTGGTTGCTCAATGACTCCAGAGCTGCAGTTTTGCAAGATGCAGTTTTGGGCCACAGCTGCACAGCAATGTGAATGCACCATAACAACCATAATGGACACTTACAACAGTGACAATGAAAGAAATCTGAAGTCTAAGCAAATGCATTAAGTGCTCATAGGATCCAGCACAAACTAACTTCCCTGAGCAGCTTCTGCACACAGTGAGGACCCTAGACCAAAGAGCTACAAAACGGAGACCCTGTCACTAGAGCTAATCGGTCTGCCATGTGAATCAATAATGCTGCCGGCTTTGCTAAGGCTATCGATACAGTCAAGTCAGGGAAGGCGTCCTTGCACAGCTGAGCTGTTTCAGCTGTTACAGCCAGGCCATGGACCTAGTACCATTACTGCCACCTGCACTAGGGCTTTCCAATCCTTCCTTCTTTACAGTGAGTCTGTAGATTACAACGCTCGTGCATACCCATGACACAGGACCCAGATAAAACAGCCATCTGGGGACACAGGGGACCCCAACTTAAGGTGACATCCCAGGAGAACAGGCCTGCAAGCCCACATTCTTCATTCTCCGTCCGGAGAGGGAAGACCGTAAGTGGCTACAAGTCTGCACTTCAGCTAAGCTGTCTGCCTGAGCCAGGTTCTCGAACACTGCAGACAGCTCTGACCTTATAAAGCGCAGAGCCAAATCTGAGGGCTTTTTGAGATTCGCAACAGCCAGATTTATATCTGGAAGGAATGAAAGAACAATAACCCAATTTATTTTCCAGTCTGTATATTATGAATTTCAATGTTTTCCTGTTTCTTCCCGTGAAGTTCTCTTTCGGGTGGTTATAAAATCCTGTCTCGTTTATGTTGGAGACAGAACAGGCTGACTGTGGGCCGGGGACTTCAGGAACTGGTGGAAAAGGCCTGTTCCCGCCCCCCCTCCCTCACTTGACTCTTGCTCCCCATTTCCTTTGGCTAGAAGCAGCCCCCAGACAGTCAAGCCCCAAGCCCAACCTCCTGGAAGAGCTGCGGCTGGATCTTGGGGCCCAAATAAGCTCCAGGCAAACGGAGAGAGTTTCCAAAAGGAAATAATATGCAAGAAGTCTGCCCACAGCATCCTGAATGGCTGACCTTATCATTTCAAAAAACAAAACACAAACAAACCTAGAAAACTCCAAAAAAAAAAAAACCTGAACCAACTATATAAATGCCGGAGTGGGAAGAGATGCAATATTTCTAAGTGCTCCCTGAGACTCTGCAATCCAGGTGTCTCCGTCCAGGTTGTGTGCACCATTCTGCAACGTAAGGAAAGCCTGGCGAGTCACCAAGGGTCAAGGCTGCCAGCGGTGTGGGGGTGCTGAGCCCCAATCCAGGGTGACAATCGGTGCAGTTTAGCCTTTAGCATGGAGACAGCCCCTTACCAATGCCCCCCCTCACACACCCATAGTTAATTTTGAATAAAGAACTGAATTGCGTTGTCAAGAGTTGGCTGGATAGAGACCCGAGTGGATGTCGTCGCTTGCAGGGTTTAAGGATTCTTTCGCTGGCCATTCCTGCAAAGAGCGAGACGTTCGCTTCCACGCATCTGTTTGCAGTGCCCACTTTTCATTGGCTCGAAACTTCTGGGTCCCATGCCCTTGGCGAAGGCCACACAGACACAAGGCAGGAGCAGCCCAGATGTTCAGCTTGTCCGGTGCGCCCGGACGGCAGCCAGGCGAGCGCTGGGGACCCGGGGCTCGGCTCCCACCCCGCGGGGTCAACACGGAAAATCCAGTCCCTCGCCCAAGGGCGCACAAAGCGGCGGCGCTTTCCCGAAAAGAAAAGAGGAAGACGCAAAGCAGGGGGGGGGGGGGGGGGAGGACCGTTCTTTCTTTCTTTTTCCCCCTGTCCCCCTGCCGATCGCTCTCAGCGCCTGGGTTAGCACATCCCCACTCCCAACCCCGCGGCAGCTTCTTCTAAGGAACGGTGTCCTCGCATCCCGGGCTCCTGCCCGTCCCCGTCCCCGGCGCGGCCCTGAAGCCCAGCCATCCCCGTTTGCCACCCACCAGCGCTTGGGGGTTTGTTTTCGCTGTGTTTTTCAAGCAAGCTCTGCAGAACTGCAGAGCCCCGTGCGGGAAGGGCCAGGCCGGCCCCGGAACCCACCTTCTCAACGCCGGCATGTCCCAGCTGCAGGCGCGCGCGCGCGGCGGCGAGGCGAGAGGTGGTTGGCTCGCGGCGGGCCCGCCGGGGGG